CTAATAATAACATTTCTTAAGTAAAATTAAGTCATTCAGTTTCTTATACAAACCATCCTTTAGATGAATTAAACAAAAGCAAAATAATTTAAGATTTCGAAGCTTTTATACATGATAATTTACCAATGAACTATTATTTTGTTCTTTTTTTTGATATTTATGAATAACTGAAAGTATATTCATAATAAATATATAAATAAATAAATCATTATTTCCCTAATCATAAAATTTATTTTTGCTTGTATCCTTCTAAAAGATCTAAAGGACCTTTTGCAGATTCTGATCAAGTTTATTTATTAAGCCTGTATTTCCAAAAAGAAATTATTTTTGAAAAAGAGTTAAGTTTATCATAACCTATTAGTAATGAAATTTTAGATATTATTACATAAAGTTTAACTCCTAAAAATTCTTCGTTTATAACTCATAATACATAGTTTGAAAATGCATTTATTACTTCATAACCTATAATGCCTTTACAAAATATCTTTAATTATAATGATGAATCACCTAAATAGTAAAAAAAAAAAAATACAAAATATTTAATATATTTATGTATATATATATATATATAAAGTTAAATTAATTAAGATAATGTATTTAAAATTATTGAATTTTTGAATAGTTAAAATATTCGGGAATGTTTTAATGATGAAGAATTCAAAGAAATATTGAAATTAGCAAGAAATAAAAACTTGAATTTATTTAGTGCTTATGAAAATTATAAAATTTTTAATGATATATTTGAATTTTAATAATCTATTAAATAAATAATAAATAAAAATAAAAATTTAAATAACAAAATGGAAATGAGCTTTGAAAATAAATAACTTAATTCTAATTTAAATAATAACAAAAATAAAAAATTTAAATAGTAAACTTTTTTCTTTTTTTAAAATTTTTTAACTTTATAAAAAAAAAAGAAATAAAAATTAATGGAATTTATTTAATTAATATGGCCTACGTAAATTTTTAAGAGAATTTGATAAAGAAAATTATTTAACTCCAGAAGAATCTAGTGTAATTATATGGTGTTCTCATCCTTCTAATAATAATTTAGAATTTAAAGAATTAGTTTAGAGTTTATAAAATTATTCAAATCCTAAAGTAATTATTATATATATTTTTTTAAAAAATAAAATAAAATAAAGTTAATTCTAAATGCTTTGAAAGAATATGGAAATTAGTTTGGTTAAAGAATTATGAATAAGTATTTTCTAAAATCAGAAGTCGATTATATTAATAATAATAAAGAAAATATATTTTCTCCTGTGTGTGGAGCTTTTAAAAATTTAAAGTGTTTAGGAGATATAGATTAGTTTTTATAAATTTTAATTGAGAATTTAGAAGTTTATGAAAATTAAGACAAATAATTTTTTGATGAAAGTCTATTAAAAGATTCTTAAGAAAAAAAGTTCGAAAAATCTCCAAAAGAAACAAATAATAGTGTTTAATAAAGATAAGACCAAAATGAATATAATAATAATAAGGATGCTTATTCTTAAATTGCTTAAAAAAAGAAAAATGCAAGAAGAAATACATTTAGATTAGATTTAAATGATGCATCTAATAATACTAAGTAATTTTTTTTAAAAAATAATATTTTTTTACAATATTTTTTATTTTATAGTACAAATAAACTAAAAAAATAAGGTTCTATAGTTAAATCGGAAACATAAGGAAGTTATGTTTAGGATGTAATTAATAAATTTCATCAATACAGAGATTAGGAAGACTTTGATAAAATATATGTATAAAAAAAACATATTTATCAATATTATTTATATATATTTTTTTGTTTAAAAGTATGAAAATTTTCTAAAAATTTAAAATTTATAGTATATTAATGAAGAATAAGAATAAATACTATAATATTTATATAATAATCGATATCCTGAATTGATTAAACTTTTAAATTAAATTAATAAAGATTAATCTCCGCTTTAGAGTTATTAAGAATAAATATTGTATTTTTTTTATAAATATATTGATTTTTTTAAAAAATAAATAAGATAAATAATAGAATAAAATAAATATATTCAAGAACAAAGTGGATATATATCACCACTTAATTTTAGTCCTTTAGCTAAAAATAAAATTACTAAATATTAATAGTTTAAAAGTGTTTTGAAGTATTTATATGTAAATATCATATTTAAATTTTTTTGTTGGATAACTAAAACTCTTTTAATTTTTTAAAAATAAAGGAAAATGAATAAAAAATATCATAAAAAGAATAAAATACTTATAATTATTTGTATATTATAGAAGACATTGCAACATTAGCTTGCTTTGAACTTTATTTACATAATTAAGAATTAGAAGAATTTTTGGAAACTCTTAAATTGATTGACAAATTGAATTATTTTAAAAAAAAATTGGTAATAAAATTAAAAGCTTTTTCTTTTTTTTTAAACAAAAAATATAATTGATAATTTTATAAAGTACTTATATAAAAATAAATTAAGAATTATGAAGAAATAGAATAATTTGATGATATTGTAAAAAAATAATATGCTATCTTGTTTTAATTTAGAAATTATTTAGAACCTAAATAAATAGATGTTTATGAAAAAGTTAAGTTTTTTAAAATAAAAAAAATAAAATAATAAAAAAAAAGATTATAAGAGTTGGTGACAATGGTCTTTTAAGCATTTATCATGAATTTAAATAAAAATAAAATAAAAATGAGTTTAGAAATAAAATTGTTTTATATTCAAAATAAAGAGAATAAGAATTAATAGAATATGAAAAATGTAATGCATAAAAAGGTGGTTCATAAGCATAATCAGCTTAAACTAATATGATTGAAATTTTAGATGCATTTGTTGATAGATTTTTACAACATATTTAATATGTGGACATTTTATATGAAGTATTTTTTTAAAATAAAATATTTATTTAATATAAAAAGTTAATTTAAAATGAAAATTAAACTATTTTCTCAGTTTTCGATGTTTTTTAATATACCAAAGATAAATCAGAATTTATTTAAAATTTGAATTTAATTTATAAAGCTTATTATTAAAGAAAAATGTAAGAAGAAACAAATAAAGCAATTAATGAATTAGATATATCTTAATTTTAGGTATTATTAAATTATTAAATGTTTTTAAAAAGTATATTTTTCATAGAAAGTAAAATTATAAAATAAGCTTAAGTTTGAAAACTTCTAAATTATGATTGCATTTAATTAGTATTTGGAAAGTGCAAACTTTGAAGATTTTAAAGAAAATCTAAGACATTTACTTTGATTATTTAAAATAAATATTTTATTTAATTTTTTTTTTTTTTTTTTAAATAAATATTTTTTTATAGTTAATATTTATTTATTAAACAAATTTTACATATTTATTATATAAAATAAACTTATAAATATATTTATAAAAAATTATATTATTTTTTACATATTTTTTATCTTTTATAAATAAATATTTTTCATTTAATTTTACTTTTAATTTTTTATAATAATTTATTTATTACTATCCTATTTGTGCTTTAAAAAAATAATTAAATATTTTTTACTATTATATTAAGATGACTTCATTTTTCGAAGAATCTTATAATTTCAAATCTTTTTTTTTTATTTTTTTTTTTTAAAAAATAAAGTATTTATAATACTTTTTTAAAAATAATTTTTAAAGTTTTAAGCTTAATATTATTTCTATTCTAAATATTTTATTATATCTTTAAAATTTTATGTTTTAGTTAACTTTTTCTATATATATAAAATTAAAAATTAATTTTTTATTTTTTTATTTCTAAAACTTTGTCATATTATTTGCATAAAGAACTATATTTATTTCTATTTTAATATAAAAAACTTGCATCATTAAAAACTATTTATTTTTCCATTTTTACTAAAATTAATAAATCTTAGAATTATTTTCTTTTGTAAAAAAAAATAAAATAAAATAAAAAAAAAAATGTATATTTATACTACTTTTATTCATCAGAAATACCAAAGTTTTAGCAATATTTTTCTATATTTATAGAACTCAAATTAAATGAATTAATATAATTTTATTGATCTTTTTTTTTCACATACTCATTATTTTTTTCAAAATTTTTACAATTTTATTAAAAAGTTACGTTTTTTTTTTTTTTTATCAATTAGATTATTTTGTTAAATTAATATTTCATTTAATGATTTTTTATTTATAGAATAATTATTTTCATTTTTAAAATCATATTATGTTAAATTTTAATTATTTATATGTTATTTTAAATTTGAACAGGACTAATTTTATTAGACCCTTTAACTAGATTACCTTAAATTAATTGTTATTCTAGATAAGGCTTATGCATAGGAAGATAATGCAAATTTAACTGCATATTAATTAATTTTTTAAGTTTATTTATTCTCGTTCTCAATTTAATAAAATTAATTTGCTAAATTGTTTGCTTCTATTTTATTATTAATTTTAAAAGGAGATTTTTATCGATTTTTTAATATATTTTAATTTTCCTTAAGAACCATTATTTTAACGATTTAATAAAATTTTTATTAATTTATTTTTTATGTAAAAATATAAAATTTATTAAATATAAATAAATAACATATATATTTTTATTTTCATTTCAAGAAAATAATGGCCAAAGTCGTAATATAAATTATTGCAAAAAATACAATCATAATTTTAATTTATTTTTCTAATTTTTAAACATCTTTTTTAATTTAAATATCTCCTATCTAACTCAAACCTTACTCATTACTATTAAGGTTAAAAGTCCTTCTTTTAGTGACTACATTATTATTATTAGTATTTTTATTGTCTTCATCAAAATCCTAATCAATATCTTAAATAATCTAACTTTTAATTTTTTCGATTTTATAAATATTATAATACATATTATTACACGGAGATAATTAACTTTTTGCATCATTTTCATCTACATTATTATTAATATTGCCAATATTAATTATTTTATTTTTCATATAATCATTAAATACTTTTATATATACTGGCAGTATTTTTTCTTTAGCATCTTTTTATTAAATGTCAATTGTACTAGTTTATATTTACCCAGAAACCCATGTATTTTCTATAAAATGTACATAAGTATATTATTTTAAAGAAATATTAAAAGCATCTATTTACTAAAATATTTATCTTATTCTCACCAAAAATGTTTCTCCTTTAGGAACTCCACTTGTATAGACTTCATTATTTAAAATAATTGTATTATTAGATATAAAAGAAACTTTAATAACTTCTTTTATATTGGCTTATTTAGGCATTAAAGGAATGTTTGATTTCGGGAGAGGGTGTATAAAAGCTAAAGTCCTTTCACTTGTTTCACAAAAGTTTAGTATATTAAATTCTGTTTAGTTTAAATCTGTAAAATATTCGGGTATGGGAGGTTCGAAAGGAGTCGCAGTATAATCAAAATCTGTAAAAAGTCCTTTTTTGATGTATTCTATGAAATCATTGTGACCTTAGTAAGGTCTTTTGTCGCTCCATAATAAAGAAAAAAGTACTCTACAATCAATTTCTTAATTTTCAAAATTAAAGTTATGGTCAATTACACAGTATTTGAATTTCTCTAGGTTTTCCATTCTTTAATAGATAGCTTGTTATCTTTGTTCGATTTTCATTTTTTGTAATTCTTCTTAATTACCAGTTTGGGCCATTTATTATTAAATTTAAATTTTTTATTGTTTTTCTAATAAAAATTGACTAAGTCTTTGTTGGTAGGAGTCAAATATTATTTAAGATTATTATTAAGAGCTTTTTTGGAGAAAGTTCTCTATGTTTCTGTTAAGAAAACTTTGTTATAAAAATCTTATGTCTATTAATAACTTTTTTTTATAAAAAAAATAGTTTTAATTAATTAATATATAATGTCTTTTTAAACTAAATATTTAATTGTTTGAGGGTCTATTTATGTGAACTCTTTTCTTACTATTAAATAGAATGATTACGATTTAAATACTCCTTAATATCTTATTTCTGATTCGACTACTATTTAACTTTTATCTATATAAAAAATTTGCTGTTTTTCCGTTGCTTGACATTTAACATTCATAAAAGGAATATAAAAAACAAAATTAATTTTGTTTATTACATAGGAAACTTCTCTTTAACTTAAATAAACCCAATTTTATATTAAATCATCATCGTTTTCTTCGGTTTTAATGTAATTTTAATTTCTATATATAATATATATAAAATAAATTATTATATATGAATATATATATTTATAATTATATATACTTATATATAAATATATTTTTTATTAATATATATTCATTTATAAAAAATTATTTACGTGAAATATTTCGGTGGGGATGGCAACCAATTTTAAAAAGATATATCTTGTTATTTTAGTTTTTCTTTTAATTAATACTCTTAAAAGTTTTTATAAATATTATTATTTGAAGCATGTTAATATACAGTATCATCAAAGAAAGCTTAATAAATATCACTTATGGTGACACCATTACCTGTTAAGTTTTCTTTTAATAAAATATATTTAAAATTTCCATTTTAGTTAAGAATATTTTCAATATTAAATTATCTTTATTTAATTTCATCTAAATAAATAAAAAAATAAAATTAAAATAAATAAAAAATATATATGCATACTTTTATTTAATATATTATTTATTATATAAATAAAGGAAAAAAAATTAATAAAATATTATATTTTTAAATAAAAATAAATTATAGAAATATTTATTTATATAAAAAATATAAATTACTTTAATTTTATTTTAAATATTATTTCTTTTATTTACATTCTATAATAGGTTAAAATTCATTTTATTAAATCCCTTATTCTTTTTTCAATCTACATTCCTCATTATTAATAATTTATAAATTAAAAGTTTTAAGAATAGAATTATAAGCATCATCCCTATAAATAAAAGAAGTAAAAACTAAAGACCCTTTAACAGTATCAATTTAAATTACATTATCAATATAAAAAATATTTTTTTTTTTCTTAATAATTTAAATATCATTTTTCGGAATTTCCAAAATCGTTTCACTAAAAAATAAATTATTGCTATTAAAATAGCTTTAAAAAATCAGCCTTTTATTAGTAATAAATATTCTTCCTTATAAATTGATATTTTATACAAAAGCGCATGAAAAATGATGCTTTAAGATTTCTCCCTCCCCCCATGTAGTTCTTTCTTTTAGAAATTCTTCATATTCTATAAAGTTTTTCACTTTAGAATTCGGCATTTCTATCATAGATTTAAAGTCAGTCAATTTTTCTTTAGGAATTATGATATTACTTTTATTCTATTCGTCTTTTATCATACTATTTTTTATAAAAGATTCTTATTCAATATAATATTTGTTAGTTTTTTCTTCTTCTATATATTGCTCATCATTTATAAAGCTTACATAACTGTTAACTTACTAATCTTCATCTTCAAAATTGAACTTTTTTTGTAAGTAAGAATATTATTAATGATCAAAGAAATGAGTATATTAAAATTAAGTTTAAAAAAGTTCTTCAATATTGGTTATACTTTCTTTATATAAAACTTAATAATGGACATCGCTTTAACATAAATTTTAAACGTACTATTAGATGATTCTTTTATTTGAAATATATTCATTTTAACTAACCGATTCTTAATGCTTGCTATACTCGAATATATTATTTACAGCTTGAAGAGATATTTATTACATTTAGTTTATTATTTTTGTTAAACAGCAATTTATTCCACACCATTCTTTCTTATCTTTTTTTTTATTAGAAAGATATATATATATATTTTCTTTTTTATTTACTTATTTTATCAAATTCTGATAATATATAAACAATACATTCTTATAATTGTTTAACTGATTAGTCCATTTTCTGCGTAATCATTTATAAATTATTTGGCTGGTTTATTTTTATTGATTATGTAATTAAGTTAGGGGATTTATTTAAACATTGATATTATTAATATCTATATTACTGCATTTAATTCAAAAACTATTAGTATTCATTACTTATATTATTGTGATCTTCTATAGATTTTTCTAAAGCAGAAAAAACTTATTAATGATTGTTTTTTATTGTTTCTAAATGAATTTATATTCTTCTAATTTAATTTTCTAAAACTTGATTTTAATTTAAAATGATTTATATAATTTATTAGATAGTTTCTATCAAAAATTTAAATTTTTGTACTGCTATATTCCCCATAAATATTTCGATTTCATCATATACCTTATTATCAATTTTAGAAATTACATCACTCATATTTTTTTACGTTTACTCGTAACTGTCTTTAAATTAAATTAAAAATTTTATAATTGATTATAACTAGTTTTATCTATAATTAGATTGTTTTTATGCCTTTTTTAATTATATTTATTTTTTATATTTTATAAAATAAATACATCTTATATATATATAATGCAATATTAAGAAAAATCAATCATTTATTATTATTCATTTATGGGAATAGTTTTATATAGAAAATTCGGAAATATTTCTAAATAATTTATTTTAAATAAAAGTTAAATTAAAAAATTATAAACACTTAAATATATTGTTTTTTACAATTCTAATTTACTTTAAGAATTTTATATTAAAAAAACTCCGGATTAGGCAGAAATTTTGGAATTTTGAAATCAAAATACTCATTTTTCTTTTCTTCTAAAAACTAAGCTTATGCCATAAAATAAGTAGAATAAGCCTATACATGTTAAATAATAAAATCGATAAATTTCATAATAATTCCAAGTAATAGATCTTAGTTTTTTTCTAAAAAATCTTTTATATTAATTCCAAGTGCTTTTTTGTTAGTTTCAGCGAATTCTCCTAATGTAAAATAATTATTTTCTTTTTCTTTCAAAATATGATAGCATTTTTAAACTTTTTCCCATCGAGCTTATTTCTCTTTTACATTGTAAACTAGATTTGGATCGGTAAGACTGTCTTAGCAATAATCGATTAAATTTGAAACCTCTTTGGCTTGTTTTTTGTAATTTTTTTAGGCGTTTTATAGTTATTTCTCTGATTCAAGAAATTTATCAATAGATTTTTTTACTAATTCAAATTGAACATATTGAAATTTATCGATTTTTTCGTTTAGCTTTTAAACATACTCATTTGTTTTTTCGTAAAAATATTGTTAGATATTTTTTTGGTCTTTATAAAGTTCATTATAAGCTTTGTAGAATAAATAAAATAAGCTTTATTCATTTATTTATTATTCGAAGCTATTTTGAATTATAACGTTTAATTAATTTTCTAATAACTTATATATTTTTTAGACTAAGTTGACTACATTTGAAGAATTTATACGATATTTTTCTAATCTTTTTTAAATATTTTTATATACAGATTCATCTAATAAATATTTATTTGTGATTAATTATTATGTTTATTATTAGTCTAACATTAATATTTTTTGATTTTCTATTATAATTATATTTAATTTATAAATTAAATTAATTAATTAATTAAATTTATAATATCATATAAAAATAATTAATTAAAATATATATTTATATGTTATTATATTTATATATATATATAAAAATAAATAATTTAAAGTAATAATATTTTATATATAAAATAAAAATATATAAATATATCTATAAATATTTATATTTATTTTAATTATATAACGATTATTAATTTATTTAAATAAATATAATATTATTTTTTATTTTATATATTTCTTTATTTAGACATAAATAACTACATACTACATATATATAAATATTATTAATAATATATATTTTAATTATTTATTATATTATATATTAATTTATTTGTTACAAATAATATAATTAATGTAATTTTTAATAAACCAAAATATTATATACTACAATTATATATAAATTTTATAAAAAATTAAACAAATATATATATATTAGTAATAATTTTATATTTAAAATATTTATGTATAACTAAAATAATCATTAAATATATAATTTTTCAACTTTCTACAAATCTTTACAATTCATTTTGATTTTTTTTTTTTTCATTTACTTTTTTTAAGTGTTACTTAAATCAAATTCATTAAAAAGCTATTTTTTTTCAGTTTATTCTATATTATTAATATCAGAAAAGTTTTCTATAGAATTTTCAGATTCATCTTTATCTTTTTAATTAAACCCTTCTTTATTTTCACATTCAGTACATTAACATAGTTTTGAACACATAACCCCATTCTAATGACAAACACAGTATTTTTTCTAACAATGGGAATTTTTACAATTACAGCCTTTTATATGGGTATTATTAATAATTACTGGTTAAAATGCATTTTTAATTCTTTTCTTTTTTTAAGTATAGCTTTTTACCTTTCTTCTTCGAAATTCAAAATGTTATGGCAATCATCACATTTACATTCACTTGTACAGTATTCACCTACAGCAAAGCAATCACAATATCTTTTTAGACATTTACTATTTCTACAATTACAAGATCTTTAATTTTCTTCAGTTTTTTCTTAGATTTCTTTTATTACTGGAATTTTTTTTTCTATTATTTTATTATTTTAATTTTATTCAGGTTCTTTCTTAAGTTAATCATCTATGTCTTCTTTTTTTTTATTATATTATTATAAATTTAAACTCTTTCTATTTTTTTATTTATTCTGATTAATTGGTTATTTTTGAATGTTAGGGTTTATGTTCTCCTAGCATTCTTCGTTATGGTTATGGTTTTCGAATTCGACATTGTTTATATTTACTTGGTTTATTATATCTTCTAAATTAAAATCCATTACATTTTTATTATCAAATTAATTATTTTCATAATCCAAATTATAATCAGGAATTCTTATTTTTTTAAAAAAATTAAAATAAAATTGAATATAACTTTTTTTTTACTTTTATTCAATAGATTAGAAGTCTCTATTAGAATTTTTTTTTTCTTTTGTAAAAGGAGTCTTATTAAATATTTATTAATTAAAAAAGTCTTTTTAGATACTATTATTAAATTAATTATTAGAGTATTAGTATTTGCAATAAGCCTATTATTAAGAATCGAAATTTTATTGATTGAATCTTAAAAAATTAATATATATATTTTTTTTTATTTTACCTTAAGTAATCTATTTATTTATTTTTCTAAACTAGGTTGTTTGATGAAAGCATACATAAGTTTGTGAAATAGTTCGGGAGCCTTTAGGGTGTCCCAATGTCTTATAGTTATTCAATATTACTGGAAGAAAAAGCGTTATATTAATTAGGGTTATAATTTTTGTTTTTTTAAAGATTCTTTTTTTTGAAAATATGTGACATATTTTTTTGTTTTGTTTATTTTTTTATATTATTATTATTATTTTTTAATTTTTAAAATTTTTTGTTTTATAAATTAATTAATAACAACAAAATTTTATATTTAAATCTCTTTTTAAATATTTTATAAATATTTTAATTCGTTTACATAAAATATAATTAATTATTCAATCATTCATCCAAATAAATATTATTAAATTATAATTATATTTTTTAAAAAGTAAGTTTAAATTTTAAAAATTTTATTTATTTAAATTTCTATTAGTTTACATTAAAATAATGTTTATTTAAAAATTTCAAAAATAAAATAACATGAAAGATAAAGTATTATAAAAAATTTACAAATAAAATAAAAATATTTATATTATTTGTTAATAATATAATATTTTTTATATAAATTAAAATAATTAAAACTGAAAATTAATTTAAAATTTATATTTCTATTTTTATTCAACGAAAAAAAATGCAAATTTTTATTTTTATAAATTTTAAAAAGAAAGTAATTTATTAAATAATTAATTTATAAAAGATAATATATTAATTGAATAGTAAATTCAACTTAATAAATTATCTATATAATATTATTGAATTTGTGTTTTACTTATTGATAACAAAATGCACTAATTAATATATAAAAATATTATTTTTGTAATATTATATTAAAAATAAAATAAAAATTCATGAAAATTAATATTTATATAGTCCTTATTTATTTTAAGATATCAACTTTTTAAATAATTTTTTTAGAAAAAATAAATAAATTAAGGTTAAATATACGAAAATCAAGATAATTTTTGAAAGTTAATAGTTAAAAAATAATATATATTCAAAATAAATTTAGAAAAGTAGAAATGAAAAAATATTATATTATAAATTTGATCAAATAAAATATTAGTTAAATATTAAATATTCAGGTATTATAAATAAATAGATTAATTAATAATATAATTATTACAAAAGCTAGATATATTAGATAATAAATAGTTACAGAAACATTATAAGCAATAAATTTAAATAATTAACTAAGTTAAATATAAATTTACATCAAATAAAATTAATATAAGAATATATTTTATTAATTTATTTTTATAAAATAATATATAATATAAATTAATTTAATTAAATTAAATGTTATAATATATATAAATAATAAATTATATTTTAATTAAATTTAATCTTATTCTGAATTTATTTATTTTTATTACAATTTTATTACTTTTAATAATGTAATTTTTTTGATAAAGTGATGAATAATATTATACGAATCGAAATTTATATACAAAACCATTTTAAGTGATTTAAAAATTAAAAAACAATATATTTACAGAAATTGCAATTTAATTAATTTTTTTTGTTTTAAAAAAAATAACTTTATACATTCATAATAAATAAATAGGATTTAAACTTTTTTAATAAAATAATATTTATTAAAACTTTTAAGTGTTTATTTTCCATAAAATAAATTAATTTAATTTTTATTTATA